CACCAAAGAAATCAGTGCCTGATAATGTAGTGATACGTATTACAAATATTTTCCTAGGAGGATAACTCAGATAACATTTTTAACCTTGGGTAAGATAGCCTGCTTCTCTCTTTTAACAACACATGCAAAAACCAAACTACAAAGAAATAAATGCCTAGGTTTTCATATATTTTTCTCTTTGATTTTTTGGAAAAATAATCCAAAAAGCACAAAGTATAATGTGTAAATGTCAGTATACAGGTCAGCAAAAAAGTAAGTGTTAAGATTTTGCCATATTTGCTTCAGATTTTTTTTAAAGAAAAATGAAGCTTTTCAGATAAAACTTCAGATAAATTCCCTTTATTTTGTTTCCATTCCTTTTTTTCCCAAGGCCAGTGCTCTGATAAAGTTATCAGGAACCTTTCCAGTGTCTTTTCAGAATTTTACTCTATATGTAATTATTTACATGTATATTGCAATATGCTAGCATAAAATATGCTATTGTTATTTTTTATACTTTGAAATGTTAACAAATGGTATCATATGTATCAGTCTGCACCCTGTTCTTCTTAATAGGCTGCTCTCTGTTCTTGATGTTTATCCTATCAACCCGACCTGAATACAAACAGATCTCGTTCACTTTCTTTAAGTGTCTTATACTGTTGCATTGGATAATTAAAGCAAAATTTATTTTTCTTATGATGATGGATAGTTCAGTATTTCTCATTATTTACTATTGCAAACAGTGCTACATGAATGCCCTTGGACTTGTCTCCTTGGGCACACATATGGGGGTTTCAGTGGAAAAGTTTCCTAGAAGTGATATTGCTGAGTCCTAGGATTTATGCATCATTGGCTGTATTTTCATGTTGCTAAAGCGTTTTGCAACAAGAGTGTGCTTTCTTACACTCCTTTTCAGCAAAGCTGGAGCTAGCTTGCTTGCTTGCTTTCCTTCTTCCTTTTTCCTTTTTCTTTTTTTGGAGCTACCTTTCTAAAACCAATATGCCAGATATACTTACTATAGTTTTAAGAGTATTTTACTGCAAAATTTTACCTTTGTTACATGAATTTCCCACACTTTCACCAGGTCATTTTTTTGGCTGCTCTAGAAAGAATGGAGCAAATACTAAAACTTTGGTTGTTTCATGTTCATTCAGAACAGAGCACAAAGTCTAAAGCAAAACTGTGCTTTATTTGAGTGTTCTTCCAGAATGAATCTTTCTCTTCATATAAATTTCACTCTCTTGCCCTCATTGTCACTGCTTAAATGAATCGAATTTCTGACCTTTTTGACATTTTTGTAGATCCTGAGAGGACTGTCTCATCACTTTGTGCATGGATTTTGGTATTTTTCTGCTTATTTTAAATCTTTTGAAAGGAAATGAAAGGAAAATGAATGTTGGTGTCAGCATTAATTCATCTCCTTAAATTCCTTCAGTGTTTTAAGACCTACTAGGTATCTAATTTAAAATTTCATTTTAGTGTCACACAGATGTAGATGTTAACACAACCTCCAAAAACACCTTCCTGAACTTGAAATTGTTGCTCTAGCCTGCAACTTGCTGAAGCATTTCTTCACTTGAAGTTCCTTCCGTCTTGGAGGAAGAAAGTCAGCCTACGTCCGGTAGAATAGATGGATAGAGGTACCGTGTCCTTGTATGGTTCAGTTACTTGAGGAATTTCATGGTGGGGAGGAGTCAAGGGAGAGGAAGAGAGAGACTCTTAAGCAGGCTCTATGGTCAGCACGGAGCCTGATGTAACACTCGCTCTCACAACCCTGAGACCATGACCTGAGCTGAAATCAAGAGTCGGACACCTAACTGACTGAGCCACCCAGGCACCCCCACATTCCCCCTTTTTAAACACAGTGAACTCATAAATGGAAACAAAGTTGAACTGATGATGGAGAGTAATGATAAGGCCCAAATGAGTCCCTAGAGCTTTTCTGAGGAGATCATCCTTAGTTCCTGTTTAGGCTTACATTTTGGTATCCTGGTTTTCCCACTTTAATTCTTCTTCTACTGGAGAAATAAACAAGAAATATCACCAGTACCTTCTGGCCCATTGTTTCTCCCCAAAAAAACACTGAGTTTAAATGTTAACTCTTAACAGCACGGACCAGAAAGGGTCCAGGATTGTCCTGAGTCAGTCAAGTAGGCAGACATACATTTTTGGTCTCTCTAAATAACGTTGATAGGAGGTGCTGGTCTTGTTGGCACGATGAGCCCTGTTGAGGAAATGCCACATGCTATGAATATACGTTGTTGGGACTTGATATTTTATGACGTTTATGAAGCTTTTATTTTGGCAGGGGAGCTTAGGTGAGATGGATGTGATCAGATTTGTGTTTTGAAAGATCTGTCTGGCTGCAGTGTAGAGACTTGGAGGGTGCAAGAGGGATACACTCGGAAAATATTTAGGAGGCAGATTCACCTGGATTTGGTGATGGCCAGGTGCTGGGGGCCAGGGGAGAAAACCACATCGAGGTTGAATGAGTTGCCTCAACTCCGATTGGGTACACAGCTATGGGATCTAACCGAGCACCTGAGATTTTTGTCCCGGTTCTGTGTGAAATGGTGTAAAGTCAGTGAAGCCTCATGCCCTGTGCTGTGCTGTGTGATGCTTGGAAAACCCTGACAAATAGCCATCTACTTTCCCTCCGGCAGGTAGGAGGTAGGCAAAAATGGTTGGATTCCTGTAGTTACACAGTTGGGGGAGTATAGGAAGAAACCCCTTTATATTCATTTTATATTCATTCAGGCCAACTGGCTAGTGTCATTTGTTCAGATGAGCCATCATTCATGGTAGCAGCCACTATAGGTAAAGGTTAGGGATGTTGTTAGTTTTTAAAAAATATTTATTTATTTAAGAGGGAGGGAAAGAGAGCAAGAGAGAGTGAGCACCCACATAAGAGCAGGGAGAGGGGGAAGCAGGCTTCCCGATCCGAGCAGGGATCCTGAAGCGGGGCTCGATCCCAGGACCCTGGGATCATGACCTGGGCCGAAGGCAGATGCTTAACCAACTGAGGCACCCAGGCGCCCCAAATGTTAGAGTTTTACGTGCTGTTGATGACATTAACTGGAAGCACAAAGGAGAATTATACTTCTCAGAATGCTTTTTAATTATTTTCACCAGCAGCTCTCAAGGAAAGTTTGTTCATCAGGGAAGGATAGGGCAGAGGGCTGGGCCATCAACATTTTTGGCTCCATTTTAGATAAACATTGGTGTCTGAGGAACTGATGGCTTTTGTTCAATGTCGCATGGGCTGTCAATAGCAAACTCGGGGTTGAGGCTTTGAATCTTTTAGCTTCCTAAAAAGGACACAACAACAGTAAGCACAACAGAATAACTACCATGGGATTGAACCAAAATGCAAAACCAGTCATTCATTTCCTCAGGAAGCAGATATATCCACCGTGTGAAATGATTCTGTTCTCTGCCATGATCCTCAGACCAGGAATTTAAAGAGGTCATTAATCTTAAATATAATATAATCTAGGAATCTCTTTATTTGTCCTAGGAGACCTTAATTATCAGCTATGATCACGCTCACACACTACCCAGTTAAAGTTTCTCCAACAATTGCCTTCATTAGATTGATGTCTTTTATTTGGGGGAAGGGGGTTAGTGGAAAGGTTGGGAATGGAGACAAATGAGTTGAAGAAAAGCAAAAAAAAAAAAAGTCAGCTGTTTAAAATGACTGGAGATAATAAAAGAAACTGTCATCACTAAGCCCTCTGGCCCCCAGAACAGAAATACTAAGCTAAATTAATATGAATGACAATAATAATTTTAGGGTCTACTGTAACCTGTAACAAGTCTGTCTGTAAGACGTATTCTCCTTGTCTGTTTGGAAGAGACTGGAAAGACTGATGAGAGGGTAAGAGACATGATTTGTCAGGATGCTTTGGGGAATACCCCAGCAGTTACCAGGATCCCCTCGCTGATTTTATTTGAAAAGGACCAGCCAAACTGTGGTCCTTCAGAGAACTGTATCCCTTCCTTCCTGGATGCCCCTAGGACTGGGAGTCCCTTCTGGAGTTGCTGTATTTATGGAAACCCCTCATTTCCCACTCATCGAGACCATATCTGCCAAGGTGCCCAGGGCTGACCTGGTTTCCAGAGGTGGAAGCCAGTTACCTTGGTGGTCAGTGCTGACTCTGGGGGCACGGGACTGATGTTATGCATGAGACTTTTTGTTCCATGCTCTTTGCCTGCTTTGAAGCAGATTTGATTTCCTTGAAAATGATCTTAAAAGCAAATTCGCATAAGGTGCCTTAAAGCAACCTCAGTGAAGACATTGAAACCCATACAGAGCAGTTAAATTTTTTTTTCTTGCTCTTTTTGAGGGTCTCTCTTTCTCTTTTTGACAGTCCTCCTTATAGTTTCAGAACCTGACAGCTGAAGTCCCACATCCTCTGCAATGTGATAGTCCATTTATTTCATCTGAATCGGGGTGGGAGGAGTTGTTTTATTTTTGTTTTTTGGTTTTGTGGGTTTTTTTGTTTTGTTTTGTTTTTACCAGTTCTGTGTATTTCCGTAATGCTCCACCTGCTTTCTGCTGGCTGTCACCGAGCCTGTCCAACCGACGGTCACTGCCTCCCGAAGACCGTCGAACAGTTCCGTGTTTGAGCCTGGGGGCCTCCCATGTGGATGTTCCAGCCATGTCCGTGTGGCCTCTCCCTTCAGCTTGCTTTGTTTATCCAGCAGCTCATTACTTAAGAGTAGCCTGTCAAATAGGTTTAAATATCCTTTGGGAAACATGGTCCCTCACATCCTTGAGATACCAGAAATATGTTGAATACAGGGAAGATGGGCTTGATAAGAAAAACATGGTCGACTTGCATCACCCAAGAATATTTTCCCCGTTATTCCGGTTGTTTCCACAGGCTCTGATGAGCCCCCCACAAACCTACAGGCCCTCCGTTTCTGCCGCAGACACCTAAAGACACCGAGGGAAGCAGGGAAAATGATTGCCGATGATCCGTTCTAACTACTTGACCTTCTGACCTCTTCTCTAGATATATGACCAAGATGGGACACTACAGCACTTTATTGATGGTGGGGAGCCTAGTAAGTCGAGCTGGATGAGGTATATCCGATGTGCAAGGCACTGCGGAGAGCAGAATCTAACAGTAGTTCAGTACAGGTAAAGTATATCTTGATTTACCCCTTAACGGAGCTGCGGCCCTTCGGCTTGCATTGACAAATTCAGGCTTGCTGCTGGTTGCGAAGAACCCCACAGAACCCTGCGGGGACGGGCAGGGATTTCTTTCCCCAGGTTTCTGGAGACTTCCTAAGTTCTTGCAACAGTCATGTCATGAAAATTGAGGAATAAAGGTGTTTGTGGAAGGCCTCTTTCCCCTGGGTGCACGTGGTCAGGCTCCTTCCGTATCACCAACCCAGACATCCACCAGTGCCTCAGTGAGCCTGGAAACAACCCCCCCCCGCCCACCGGTGTGGGGTGATCGCCCTTCCCCCATCCCCTAAGCAGACATAGGCTTGCACAGAAATTGAGCCCCAGACCCCTTGCAGCCGGTGCTCTGCAGGCTTGCTGCCTCCGGAAACTCTCCTTCGCACAGAGGCATGGGAAACGGAGCACGAGCGCCCACCCTGCCCGAGGGTTCCAGCGAGGCTGCTCTTCTCAAACTCTGGGGCTCCGCGGCAGGGGCTGAGCCGCCATCCCCTCTCCTGCTCCCTCGGAGGGGGCCAGAGCATTTGGCTTTGGCCCTTCGACTGGTCAGACTATGTTTCAGGGGATGAGGCAGTTGCAGAGCCTAGAGAAGCCCCGGTTATCCTGCGAAGGGCGTGCAGAGCCCAAAGCGGGGTGAGCGGAGGCGGGGCCTGCCTCCCTCATGTCCCAGAATCCCGTGGGCGGGGGAGGAGCCAGGTGGATTCCCGCCTCCCCTCGGTGCACCTGTCGGTCTGGCATCCCCACTTGGTGCTGGAGTCCAGACGGGAACCCGAAAACAGATCACAGAGGGGGAAACAAAGCCCTTTCCTCAAAATCCCTCGAAAACATGTGCCGGATAAATATATGACCTCAGTTATAAACAGCCGTGTTCCCTTTAGAATCAGAAGCAACCGTTTAGCTTTATTAGGCACCACAGACACATCAAAGCAGAAGGCCCTGTACTCGGCAGCTTGGAGTCCTGCCTCTGGCTATTTATTTCCTTTCTTTCTTTTTTCTTTTTTAGTTTTTTTTTTTAATATTTTATTTATTTATTTGACAGAGATCACAAGTAGGCAGAGAAGCAGTCAGAGAAAGAGGAGGAAGCAGGTTCCCCGCTGAGCAGAGAGCCTGATGCGGGGCTTGATCCCAGGACCCTGGGATCATGATCTGAGCCGAAGGCAGAGGCTTTAGCCCACTGAGCCACCCAGGCGCCCCTCTTTTTTAGTTTTTAAACATGAAGCCCTTATAAAGGAAAAGGGAAAAAAAGAGGGAAGGGGGGGTGCTTTCTCCCCCTTATAGGTTAAAGGCTGCACGGATCTGGCCGCCTCTCCCAAGGTCTCCAGTTCAAAAGGAACCCATTTGGGCAGCGTGTGACTCACTGCCTTGGTTTCTCGTGCAGTTAAAGTTCATTAAATAATGGTTTTGGTGCGAGAGTGCATGACGGTGTTGGGTTACACGGCCTTGTGCAGGCTCTGGAGCAGCCCCGTTTCTGTCATGAAGCTTGGATGAAACTCGTAGCTAGAAAATGAGCAAACGCTGTGCTTGTACTCATTCGGGGAGAGATCATGGGCTGGCTCTGTCATGAGCACCCGGGGAGCCCTTGAGGCAAACACTGAATCGGGGGAAGCAAGAAGCCCCCAAGAGGAAGGTGGGCAAGTCAGTAAGTCAGTCACCTATCTGTCAGTCTTGAGTGGATTTTACAGCTCCCCCTCCCAGGACGGCGCTTAAACGTCTAGATCTCTCTGCCGATCTGTTTTCGATTACTTCGGATCGCTCTAAAACGAACTACAAAAACACAATTAAAAAAAAAAAAACAACTGGCATCCATCACCAGTGACCACGTCCAAGAGTAAGAAAATAGAAAAGTTGGACCCTGAAGAGCCAGCTTCATTTTTATTGTACATGAATGTCCTCTTCACGAAGAGTCAGCTGGTTTAGATTCATTCTGTTATGATTTGTAATATCTAAATGGAATTTTCTTCAAAGCGCCCTTGATTGATTGACCCTTCGCTGAACGTTTTGTTTTTATTTTGAGGCTGACAATAATGTTTGTTGGCATGTGTTCTGCTTCGACTGCGTTGGGACGCCACGGAGCTATCTTTATGAGTCATCCAACCACAATACTAAATACATGTCAGCAAAGGAAATATTATCTGAAAAGGGAAAAATCCCTTTGAAGTGCTTCAACATGCAGAGATTTCTGCGAGCTTTGGAAGCTCTGCCCGCTTGTAAGGAACGGTGTACGCTTACACTTTTTTTTTTTCTTCTCCTTCTTTTTTTTTCCCCCTCTCGGCCTACTCAGTGCCTCAGAAGACCACCCATCGCTTGAAAACAGTTCTGCTCTTTCAGCGGCAAAGTGTGTCGTTTGGTTTTAGCACATTCATTTGCCGGGCGCTGTGTTTATATTAAGGGAAGCCAATCTCTGGGGAGAGATGAAATGTTACAAGGGTGAAGTACAAAGTCGACTCAATTTTTCTCAAGTTAGGAGATGCCAGTGATTTATAGCTCGGCTCCAATTTTGATTTTTTTATGTAGCAGTGGAAAGAATTAATAAAATGCACAGCTCTCGGAGTTGCGGGAGGGAGGAAGGGTGTAGTGAGGTCCGGACGACTGGCTGGAGTTTTTGTCAGATATTCATAGAATGTTGGGAAAAACATTCTGCTTAGCTAGCAGTGCCCTCGTGAGACAGAATGGCAGCAAGGAAGGAAAATAACAAGATAAATGAAATTTTTGCAGCTGCGAGTAAAATATTGAGAATCTGCACTTTTTTATTGATCTTTATGATTCTATTGCCAGGAGCCACTTTGCGGTGACGAAATATGTTGACAAGTGCATATCTCACTGCCGTGAAAAATGTGGTGAAGGATTCGCCTGATGTCTGCAGTGTTATACAAGGAAAAAATTGCCGTGCTACAGCCAATTCCTTACAGATAGGCTAAATTTAAGGCCCACCAACCCTAAACACTTTTATCTTGAACTTGAGGCTCGTATGTGTAGCCATTCTTCAGGGAGGAAACTGGTCACGGTCTCCTCATTTTTTCTTTCTTTCTTTCTTTTTAATCTGTGAGTTTTTCTTTACAGTAACGAAGCCGTTATGAAAAATGTTTATTTCTAGGTGCATTCACTCTATCATTTTCGAAGGTAATCTTTCAGCCAGAGTCAAGTGCTCCCCTTGTATTTATTGAATTTCCATTCATTCCCCGTAAGAGGGGTTCTCTTTTCTCTTGTATCAAACTTTAGGAGACAGGCAACGGGGAAGATTTTTATTTTTTTTTAACCTCCCTCAGTCTTTTCGATCCCAAAGCTGCTTCATTTTACCGCAAATTTGGGGACTCCCAATGCCGAGTGGCGGGAACATGTGTCATGCTTTTTCTTCAAATCAGAAATCAGTAGTATTAATTTATATAAGAGGGTGAGGCACCAGTGTCTGTGATTTGCCAAGAAACGGAATTTTCTCATTAGTGTGAGTTGGGATTTATTATTATTTTTTTTAATGAGCCCTAGCTTTCTGTTATCTCTGTATCTGTCTCTTCAGCCCCAGTGTTCTGTGGAGGGACATTGTGGAAGTAAACTGTAAGGTGTTTTTTGCTTTGGGGTGCAGGCTCTGCTTGCTTGCTGGGAATGATAAGGTGGGGTGTGCAGATTTTATTACAGACAAACTGTTTAGATGGAGCTGGGCAGAACTTTTTCGGGGCCGATAACAATGTACCTCTGACTAAGCTGGGTTTTCTTTTGTTTTGACTAGGTCGAATATATTCTACCGAGCCTGTATAGATATCCCCAGGGGCACCGAGCTTCTGGTGTGGTACAATGACAGCTATACGTCTTTCTTTGGGATCCCCTTACAATGCATTGCGCAGGATGAAAACTGTAAGAATTTATTTTAGCTCTGAATTCACCTCTCACAATACCTCTTTTTGAAAGCTAATGTCTTAAGAGCGTTGCTTGAGACTCCTGTCATATGGTTCGCTTTGATGCGTGTTGCAAATGTGCACGAGTCTGTTTCCTCGATTTCCCTTTCCCTCTGTTGTCCTCTGCTTTCTCACAGGGCGTCTCGACTTCCCACAGGCCCGTCCTTGCTTCACCTGTTGACGATTCCACAACCGTTGTCAGAGTTTTAAATGATCTCTGGCAGCAAGGTGAAGGCCGCTGGTGTTTATTGAGTACCTACTATGTGTCTGGTTCCCTGCTTGCCTCCTAGTGGGGTGACCAGAGCAGCACGAGGTACATCTCCTGCTCTCAAACGATGCACCGTCCGGCCAGAAGCACGCTATAGGCAAAAATAAAATAATGAGAAAACAGTGCTATGTAATGAGGAGAAAAAGCCCTCTGGTTAATGGGGTGTGCCTCCTCCTAAGTAGTCCTTGGAGTGAGAAACGGTAGCAAAAATTGTAGACCTATCCCTGAGGAATTTGTCTCCCTAAATGTCTTAGGCTAAAACAAACCACATAACGTTCTTCTATCTTTATGACCATGGCCATCGTTATCTCTAAAAAAAATAATAATAATTTCTACCATCCAGGCAAATTCAAAACTTGAAGCCATTTCTACTCAAATTTGTATTTATGTTTTATCAATTTTGGGGAAAATATTTGAAGGTGATTTCCAGGATTTGGAAGAGAATGAGGTCATTCTGAGGGGTTTCCAGTGAGAAACACTGGTTTCGGTGATATCATTTTTTCCCCCTTGGCCCCAAACTGCCAAGGGATAATTGTGATAAGCTAATAATTTGGGATTATGTAACAGATAAAGATGGAGAGAGAACAGCTCTCTTGAACAAACTTCATTTTGAAAAAGAAGTGTTATTTTTCCTTTTCCACTGACTTTCTCCCTCACAGACACACAGACACACACACGCACGCAATCTAAAAACGAAAAAAGTGTTCATGTTATTCCTGAGGAAAATGCGACAATTAGAGACATTTCTTTCCCACATTGTCCTTATGTTCTTTGTGAAAAAACAGAACCCTCAAAAAGCGTGTTCCTGTCAGCCTTCCCTTTCTCCTTTACCCTAACCCCAAACCAATCTCAGATCAAAGAAAGGAATCTTTGGACATTCAGTACCTTCCTCTTGCTTCCCAAGTTTCTACCAGAAAGTTCTTTTCTGCAGTCATGCTCTGAGGGAGTGCCTGTTTCCATGGAGGCAGATCTCAGTGTTGGACATGCGTGTGTGGTGGGTGTTAAATGCAGCTATGCACACGTGCCCAGTACATGCCATCTCCCCACGTCTCCAGGCCCTTGCTGTCCTCACACTAGATCACAGTCCGTGTATGGAAAGACCCTAGTATCCGGCCCCCTGACCTGCTGACATGGGCCTATCTCCTGAACCTTGATGTACCCCCACCTTCTGGAGTATGGAATTGATCTGTAGGCATGTCCAAAATCCTGTAAGGTCTTCTGTTTCCTCTAACAAAACTCACTACAGATCTGAAGACTGTATTATTATAGTCTTATGAGTTGTGTAATAAGTCTTACTTATTGTGGTGTGCATGTCCAGAAGTGTCTGAGATTAAGCCTGTCAAAGCCTCGAGCTCAGATGGACATTGCCCAAGGATGTGTTTGTTCAGTGCTTAGGTGTTTATCGGACACCTGCAGTGGGCCTGTGTGTCTTTATAGGTCCTACAGATATAGCAGCCAAGAATTCCTGCCCTCATGCAGCTTACATTCTAGTGGAGGGAGACAGATTAATACATGACTAAAGAAGTAGGTACATACATTGTTTGTTGGGTGGTAACGCTTTGTAGAGAGATGAAAGCAGAGAAGGGAGGAGGCATGCCAGGAGTCGGGAGTTGTGGCTTTTCAGAGTGATCAGGGTAGGCCCCACTGGGAATGTGGTCTTGCGGTTAAGATCTGAGGAGGGGAAGGGTCAGCCACGTGTTGTTTGGAAGACGGGTGTTCCCGGTGGTGAGGTGAAAAGGGTAGAGGCCCCACGATAGGGATGTCCCTGGCCTGTTGGAACAGTGTTCCCAGGGTCAGCAAGGGTGTTTTGGAGCAAATGAGGTGAGAAGGTCACTTAGTTATCAGGTGGGGCATGAACAAGGACCCCCTGGCAGAAGCCTGGCTTTTCCTCAGTATGGGCCATGCGAAGGGCGCTTACAGCAGAGTTTAAGTTTTGAGCAGGAGTGCTGGGTTCCTGCTGCCATTGTTAAGAGGATGACTCTGGCCACTGATTGGAGACCAGACAGCAAGGCCTGGGGGTGGAGCAAGGAATCCAGTTCCAGGCTCTTGCAGGAATCCAGGGGGAGAGATGATGGTGGTGGTTTGGGCCAGTGTAGACATGGTGGAGGTGGTAAGAAGTGGTTGGATTCTGGATGCATTTTGAAAGTAAAGCCAACAGCGTTTGCTGACACCTTAGGTGCTGAATGAGAGAAAGGAGTCAAGGATCACTCTAGGACTTTGGTCTGAGGAACCGGAAGGATGGAATGGCCGCTTACTGAGTTATGAGGGAGAAATGGAAACCACCATGGAAATGACTTCTTGGGGAATGCATTTCTTACCCTTGATGTGATCTCTGAGGTGGAAGTCATACATTTGCAACCTTGCTTCCACCTCATGAGGCTGTTACATAGGATCGGGCTGGAGGAATTGGGGGGTCTTGTGTGCCATTCACATCCACCTGACAGTAGGTATTCAAGAGCGTACCATCTGGTCCTTGGATTCAGTGCCGAAGTGCCAACAAAAGGGTATTTTCTGGAAACACCAGATGCTGTGCCTTTTAATCCTTCTCTCTCCTAGTCTCCGACTGCTTAAAGCACTCTTGAGGTTGCTGATTATTGAATTCCATTAACTCTCCCAGGGTTTCTGTTGTATCATTTAGTACCCGAAGTCCTTGGAAGAAAAACTGAAAAACCTCAGTGGCTCAAAGTACTGTGGATTCAGGAGGCAGACCAAGCGGCTGGAGTTCTGAGCTCAAAGTGAGGGTGGAGGGAAGTTTAAAGAAAATGAAGTCATTGATGAAAAAGCTCCACGGTGACAATCCCCCCTTCCCCCTGAGGGTATTACAGGAATTTTATTTCAGTTCCTGTCTCCAAGTCATATATCTGTCATGTGATTGGCCACCCAAGAAACCGGCGGAAAGCTTCATCAGATAGCGTAGGGGAGATATATGACTTGAACTCTAAGATGGATTCTCATTCCACAGGATTCACAGAGAGAGCTGGGAATGCTTTATAATGTGGGTTCCTCCTTCTGCACACAGAAAATACTCGGTGTGATTTAAAAGCACAAATGTGTGAAAGGGCATGGACAGATACTTTAACAGATAGCCTTCCACAGCCCTGAGTAATTTAAATCATCTCAACTGGATTAGCAATTCTAAGACAATTTTTATCCCACTGAGCTAGCCACAAAATAAATCAGGTACCTTAAAAAAAAGAGGCTTCTGGATACCAGAGACTTAGGTGACAAAATGCCTTAGCAGAGCCTCCTTGTCGGGCCACGGACTCGCACCAATTAATAAGCGCCTCCTGGAACAGTCTGGAGACTTTTGTCGCCATTATTTGAAGGGATGAAACATCTCCGCCCCGTAGTTTCCTTTGTTAACAAAATGGTTACGTGGCCCAAGACACTCAAGGGAAACGTGATTTTACTTAGCAAATAATACTTCCTGAGCGTTTTCACGTCTTAAAAGATCATTTTCCTCCCGTGGTCCTTTCAATGACGCAAGTACACGTTTCCTCCTGAGCGGGTGCAGTGGGCTGAGGCTTGAGAGACCGTCCCCTCTGGGGGCACCCGTGAAACGGTGGGTGCCCTCAAGAGCCCAGACAAGCCCCTGAAAGCCGCAGGGCCTCAAAGAGAAGGCAGTGTTTCACACAGACCTTGGGGCTCTGGAAGCAATTCCTCTGTTATTTTCTTTTTTAAAAAACCGGGGTTGTAAATGTAATAGAGCTCCAAGGAGAGAGCCTCTCCATCCACCACGGGCCTTTCAGAAGAGCATGAAGGAAAGCCTGTGTCGACAGATTGCCTCCGTGAGGAGGAACGAGGCTCCCCAGAGCTTCCGGTGGGGGATTAGCTCCCACCGAGTGTAAAGACCATAGTGTGTTCATATTCATTTCAGAGGAAATTAAAAAAAAAAACAAAAAAACAAAACACGGAATAAATGTTCGACAAGTCTCCCTGCTGCTCTTTCTGCCTTGGCCTGTGACATCAAGGTAGTGGAATGTGGACCTCTTCGTCCCTGCGGCGGCTCCCACGCTGACATCAGCGCTGCCTCTTTCTCTCGATTGTGCAGAGTAGGAAACAGAAAGGGGTTCCTTTGCATAGGGCCCCTCACCCCTGCTGTCCGGCCGACAGGGAGGAGCTAGGCCCAGGCTCAGGTCTTACGTCTGGGAAGTTGGAGAAGCTTGCAGTATTGTTGGGTTGAGCCCTGGGATGAGGAGCACTGGGATGACAGGCTCAGGCCCTGTCCTCATGTCTAGAAGAAGGCACGTGAGCACACAGCAACACAGCAGACACAGTGCAGGAACCTGGTGACGCGGCCGTGGGCATGAGGCCGAGCTGAGGGGGATTGAGCCGAGCGCTAGTATAGTTAGGAGGAGTCCAGGTTCTAGGCCCCTTGTGTACCGTGCGAAGTTGGGATTGCCCTTCTTCACTAAGTCCAAGGACTGGAAGTTACTGTTCCATCCCTGACTGAGGACCCAAAAAAGACTCCCCACCATCCAGGAAGCCAAGGAGCTGTCATCTCAGGCCGCTGGCAAGAACAGAGTGCTGCTCTCTGAAAACCAGCCCCGGCCCTTGTGGTGTTATGTGGCTGGATTTTGTACTACCTGCCGGCTATAGAAACCTTGGGCCAATAAACAAACAAAGATCAGTCCAGAGCTGCAGAAACCTGTAGGGTGCTAGAAGAGGCAGAGAGAAGCCACCCCATAAGG